TCCTGAATCCAAACAAACTGATTATATCTCAAATCAAATATCTGGAAAAAAAACTTGAATATATACCTTCGGTTGTGTCCATAACTGCCAGCTTTTTGCAAACAAGCTTTTCACATGAATTAGTCACTTCATCCTGTTTTACCTTTCACGATTGTTATCAATGACATGATCACTTGTGTGACAGTTAAATACAAACCAGCCACTAACTGACATCAACACAAAGCAATTTAAAATCAGCAGATGCAAAGTGCTGACAATTGAATTTCTTAGCCCTTCAGCGCCATCTCTTTTGTTCCTATCAATTCTTTTTTCAGTCACTAATGGGATGTGAGTGTCACTGGCTGGCCAACATTTATTGCCCGCCCCTAGTTGCCCTCAAGAAGGTGGTGGTGAGCTGCTTTCTAAAACTGCTGCAGTTTATGTGCTGTAGGTAGAGCCACAATGCCATTATAGAGGGAATTCCAGGATTTTGACCCAGCAACAGTGATGGAGTTGCGATATATTTCAAAGTCAGAATGGTGAGTGGCTTGGAGGAGAACTTGCAGGTGGCGGTGTTCTCATTGTATCTGCTGCCATTTTTTTTCTCCCAATTCATTTGTGGGATGTGGGCATCACTGGCTGGCCAGCATTTCTTACCCATCCCTAGTTGCCCTTGAGAAGGTGGTAGTGAGCTGCCGTCTTGAACCGCTACAGTCTAACTGCTGTAGGTTGACCCACAATGTCATTAGGAGGGAATTCCACGATTTTTACCCAGCAACAGTGAAGAAATAGCAATCTATTTCCAAGTCAGGGTAGTGAATCACTTGCAGGGGGACTTGAAGGTGGCGGTGTTTCCATATGTCTGCTGCCCTTGTCCTTCTAGATGGAAGTGGCCATGGGTTTGGAAGGTGATGTCTGAGAATCTTTGGTGAATTTCTGCAGTGCATCTTGTAGACAGTACACACTGCTGCTACTGAGCATCGGTGGTGGAGAGAGTGGATGCAGTGCCAATAAAGCAGGCTATTTTGTCCTTGATAGTGTCAAGCTTCTCGAGTGTTGTTGGGGCTGCACTCATCCAAGCAAGTGGAGAGTATTGGATCACATTCCTGGTTTGTGCCTTATAGATGATAGACAGGCTTTGAGGAGTCAAGAGGTGAGTCACTCACTGCAGTATTCCTAGCTTCTGACCTGGCCTTGTAACCACTGTGTTTGTGGTGGATCCAGTTGAACTTCTGGTCAATGATAACCCCCAGGATGTTGATAGTGGGGGATTCAGTGATGGTAACACCTTTGAATGTCAAGGAGTGGTGGTTAGATTGTCTCTTATTGCTGATGGTCATAGCCTGGCATTTGTCACTTGCCACTTGTCAGTCAAAACCTGGAGATTGTCCAGATCTTGTTGCATTTGAGCACAGATTGATTCAGTATACGAGGAGTTGTGAATGGCGTTGAAGGTTGTGCAATCATTGGTGGACATCCACACTTCTGACCTTATGATGGAGGAAGGTCGTTGATGGAGCAGCTGGGGATGGTTGGGCCAAGGTCACTACCCTGACGAACTCCTGCAGAGATGTCCTGGAGAGGAGATGATTAACCTCCAATAACCACAAACGTCTTCCTATGTGTCAGGTATGACTCCAACCACAGGAGAGTTTGCCTCCTGATACCCATCAATTCCAGTTTTGCTAGGTCTCCTGGATGCCACATTTGATCGAATGCAGCCTTGATGTCACTCTCACCACACCTCTGGAATTCAGCTCTTTTGTCCATGTTTGGGCCAAGGCTGAAGTGAGCTCAGTAGCTGAGTGGCCTTGGAGGAACCCAAACCCTGTATAACTGAGCAGGTCATTGCCAAGCAGGAGATGCTTGATAGCACTGTTGATGACACCTTCCATCACCTTACTGATGATTGAGAGGAGGCTGATGGGGTATTAATTAGCCCAGTTTGATTTGTCCTGCTTTTTAATGTACAGGACACACTTGGGTAATTTTCCACACTATTGGGTATATTCCAGTGTTGTAACTGTACTGGAACAGCTTGGCTAGGGTAGCGGCAAGTTCTGGAGCACAAGTCTTCCTTCAGTACTATTGCCGGAATGTTATCAGGGCCCATAGTCTTTGTAGCATCCAGTGTCTCCAACCGTTTCTTGATATCATGTGGAGTGAATCGAATTGGCTGAAGACTGGTATCTGTAATGCTGGGAACCACTGGAGGAAGTCAAGATGGATCATCTACTCAGCACTTCTGGCTGAAGATTGCCGCAAATGCTTCAGCCTTATCATTTGCACTGATGTGCTGGACTCTTCCATCATTGAGGATGGGGATACTTGTGGAGCATCTTCCTCCAGTGAGTTGTTTAATTATCCACCACGATTCATGACTGGATGTGGCAGGACTGCGGAGCTTGGATCTGATCCATTAGTTGTGGGATCGCTTAGTTCTGTCTATCGCTTCCTGCTTTCGCTGTTTGGCATTCAAGTAGTTTAAGTGTTTGGCGTGCAAGTGGACTTCACCAGGTTGACAGGATAGCCTGGTGCCACTCCTGGCATGTCCTCCTGTACTTTCCATTGAACTAGGGTTGATCCCCTGGCTTAATGGTAATTGTTGAGTGGGGGATGTGCCAGGCCATGCAGTTACAGATTGTGCTGGAGTACAACTCTGCTGCTGTTGATGGCCCACAGCACCTCATGGATGCCCAGACTTGAGTTGCTGATCTGTGCAAAGTCTGTCCCATTTAGCATGGTGAGAGTGCCACATAACACAATGGAGGTTATTCTCAATGTGAAGGCAGGACTTTATCTCCACAAGGACTGTGCGATGATCACTCCTACTGATACTGTCATGGACAGATGCAACTGCAGCTGGCAGATTGGTAAGGTTGAGGTCAAGTATGCTTTTCCCTCTTGTTGATTCCCTCACCACCTGCCACAGACCCAGCTCTGTCCTTTAGGACCCGACCAGTTCGATCTGTAGTAATGCTGCCGAGCCACTCTTTGAAATCCCCCACCCAGAGTACATTTTGTGCCCTTGCCATCCTCAGTGCTTCCTACAAATGTTGTTCAACATGGAGGAGTACCGATCCATCAGCTGAGGGAGGACAGTATGGGGTAATCAGCGGGAGGTTTCCTTGCTCATGTTTAACCTGTAGCCATGAGACTTCATGGGGTCCGGAGTCAATGTTGAGGACTCCCAAAGCAACTCCCTCCCAACTGTATACCACTGTGCCGCAACCTCTACTGGGTCTGTATTGCTGGTGGGACAGGACATATCCAGGGATTGTGATGGTGGTGATTGGGACATTGTCTACAAGGTATGATTCTGTGAATACAACTACGTCAGGCTGTTGCTTGACTAGTCTGTGAGAAAGCTCTCCCAATTTTGGCACTGGCACCCAGATGTTAGTGAGGAGGACTTGTCCTTCTAAATGGAAGTGGTCATGGGTTTGGAAAGTGCTGTCTAAAGATCTTCAGTGAATTGCACCTGTGCATCTTATAGATGATACACTATGCTGCTACTGAGCATCGGTAGTGGAGGGAACAAATGTTTGTGGATGCGGTGGCAATCAAGCAAGCAAGCTGCTTTCTCCTAGATGGTGTAAAGCTTCTTTAGTGTTGTTGGAACTGAATTCATCCAGACAAGGCAGGATTGTTCCCTCAGTGCTAACCTGTGCCTTGTAGATGGCACGCAGACCTTAAGGGGTGAGAAGGTGAGTTACCACATTATTCCTAACCTCTGATCTGCTCTTGTAGCCACTGTATTTATGTGGTGAGTCCAGTGGAGTTTCTGGTCAATGATGTTGATAGTGGGGGATTCAGTGATGGTAACACCACTAACATCAAGAGGTGGTGGTTAAACGGTCTCTTATTGGAGATGGTCATTGCCTGGCACGTGTGGCACAAATGTTACTTCCTCTTTAAAAAATAACTTACTAATCTAAAATCATGCAAGACAGTAAAGATAACCTTAGGCTTTTCTTGCCTGCTAGCAACAGCCTTCTTAATGTCTTCTCTCATCATCTACCCTCTCATTTACCATGTTCAGAGATCCAAAAATCCTTTGTCATCAAAATAAAGATGACTGGTTCGGTTGTCTCCACAATAGTTCTCATTTCCCAATAACCATGTAAAATTGTGGCACCTTTACCAGTGTATACCAGATTTTCCTCTTTCACTTTCCAACTTAGTTTATCTCCTGCCTTCAAGCTCAACTCGTCTGTGACCTAATGCTTGCTCCTTTGACTCCTTTTCCAAAAGGAAAAAGGACTTGATTCTTCAACTCCCCTACAGGGACCCTATTCTTTCTGACAATGCAACCAGTTCACTCTTCTCAGGTATTGGTCCCTTCATATCATTATCTCCTGTTTCAAAGCATCCACCCGTAACAACATGTCCTCAGCAACTATCAGCCTTAAATTTACTCAGTGTTCTTTCTGCAGTCTTTGCATGAAATATATTACCTTCTCCCAACCAAAGCCTATTTAATTTTCCAGAAACTGTCCACTAAATTCAGTCAGTGTTGCACCTAATTGTTGTTTTATTCTTTCACAGAGAGTGAATGTCACTAGCTAGGCTATCATTTGTGGTTCATCCCTAACTGTCCTACAGAAGGTGATGATGATTCAACTTCTTGAAAGCTGCAGTCCATAACAGTTAGATACATCCACGCTTCTATTAGGGAGCTCAAGATTTTTACGTAGCATCATTAGAAGTAACAGCAATATAGTTACAAGATGATGTGTGACTTGGAAGGAAACTTGCAGGTAGTGGGTAGTGGTGCTCTTATGCATCTGTTGCGTATACTTTTCTAGGTGGTGGGGGTTGTGAGTTTAGAAGACACTGTGGGGTCATGGCAAGCTCTTGAGAACATGAAGTATGACAGCATCTTTCTACCTTTATGCGCCTTCTCAATTCCCAACTCTTTCTGCTATCTAGCAGGATGAATAAGATGCTAATGGTGTAATCATGCACCCTTAGTTCCCACTCTCACAAGTACCTTCCCTTTTTATGTTTTTTTCTTTCAGACAACCAAAAACCTGGACAGCCACAGCAGCCCAAAGAGAAAGCAAAAGAGCAACAGCACAAAGTGATGAAAAGCTACATTTGCTTCACCTGACACTCATTGAATTTACCTTAGAAGTTAGTATAGAATTGGATTAGCACAGTGAGTCACCGGTGTGGGCTGCAAGCAAACCAGAGATAAAGGACGGGTTCATTTGTCAGCCGAGAGGCAAGGTGGCAGACAGTAATGTTGCATAAGAGCCAGATGAAAACCTCAAATGGGACATCACTCAGAAGGCTGTTGCATGAGCATTCACACCAAGATTATGACTACATTGGTTGGCCTGCCAAACAGCCTATCAGTGATAAGGAGCAAGGAAGAGCCCAACTTCCAGTTGGCAGAGGAAATCATGCAAAGCATCTGCTCCATCTTCCAGAACCAGGGACACTGCTCTCCCACACCTGTTGCAAACTGTGTGTGACAGGTCATCTTCTCTCCTGCCACTCCTGTGAGGATGCAGCAATATACTATGTGGCTTTACATATGGCAGGTAGGAAAGTAACTTGCAAGAGAACATAAGGAGAGTAGAAAAATATATAGATAAGTTTATGAATGGACAAAGATCTAGCAAGTGGAGTATAATGTGGGGAAATGTGAAATTGTCCACCTTGACAGGAAGATTTTAAAAAAAAACTTACCTAATGGTGAGAAAGTGAAGAGTTCCGAGTTGCAGAAGGATGTGGACATCATTTTGTATGAATCACAAAATACTAGTACGCAGGTACAGCAAAAAATTAGGAAAGCTAATAGAATGCTACAATTTACTGCAAAAGGGAATTGAATACAAAAGTAGAGAGGTTATGTTTCAATTACATAGGTGAGACAAAATCTAGCGTACTATAACAAACACAGATGCTGGTAAACCAGCAGGTCTGGCAGTATCTGTGGAGAGAGAAAAACAGAATTATCGTTGAGTCAAGTATGGCTCTTCCTCAGAACTGAAAGGGGTTGGCAAATGTCTTTTTTTATACTTTTTACAGTGGCAGCGAGAGACAAAGAGAACTGATGGTGTAGAGGCTCAGTGCAAAAGTCAAACAGTTGTTAAATGGTGGTGAAAGAGAAAAAGGTGTGTAACTTAACGGTGTGAAAAGGACAGAATGGGTTCCTTACTAAGAACAACTTAAACAAGCCACAACAAGACAAGGCTGGGGGTGGGACAGGGTAAGAAAAATGGAGGACATCCTGTAGTCAGGCTCTGAAGTTCTATAAGTCAATATTAATTCATAGAGGTTAAGTCTTGGTAAGCAAGTAAAGTGTCATCTTCAACAACAAAAACACAAGTTGCTGGAAAAGCTCAGCAGGTCTAGCAACATCCGTGAAGAAAAAAAATCAGAGTTAACGTTTCAGGTCCAGCAACCCTTCCTCAGAATAGTTCTGCCTGACCTGCTGAGCTTTTCCAGCCACTTCTGTTTTTATTCCCGATTTACAGCATCCGCAGTTCTTTCACTTTTAAAGTATCGTCTCGATAGGAAGACTAAGTAATTTAAGATAAAGTCAATCCCCACATATTTGATTGATTTCAAAGTTAACTCTAAGCAATAGTGAACATCCAAAGTAAGAGATAAAAACCTGCAACCTCCATGCACAGTTATATCCTAACTAGTAGGTCACATGGCATTTCTTACATTAACTGGGCTGTTACAGAAGGGAAGGAGTTTAGGATGGAATGGAAAGTGAAAAGATTTGAAATTTGGGCAGAATTATTGGAAAAAATCTGAAGTGCTGAAAAACATTTCTGAATAACAGCAAACTGTTTTAAACTAAATGGATGGGGAAAACTGGATAAGTGGGATGAGAATACGCACTTGCAGAAAACATAGAACAAAATTGTTTTTATGTTATAATTTTGAAGAAACATCACATTTCACTGTAAATTGAAGGAAGACGGGGAAAGCAGAGGGAAGGGAGGAGGGGGGATTAGAGGGAAAGGAAGGGGAGTTGGAGGGAATGAGGGGGGTGATGCAGAAAGTGGCCTCCGCTGTTGTATAATTCAAAATAATTTAACAGTTGTGAAGTCCTTGCAGTTTACCAAGTGTTTAAAAGTAAATGCACATTTAACGACCGTGAAGTTGACTGCTCCCAAAATGTCAATTAATATGAAATTCACAAATACATTTCCCCTGACACAGTTAAGCAAAATAAACTGCAAAAGCAAACAAAACAAACAAAATAAGCCATCCCATTTCCAAAACAGGAAATAGGATGTCGATACCCTTTCGTAAATTCCCACAGTACTGCTGCTGCTGTAAATCGAAAGCTATTCTCCCTCCAAATCCGTTTTTTTTTTAAAAAAAAAAGGAGCATTAAAATTGTATTCACATAGTTTTGTTTGGTTTTTGACGTGCATACAGTAAACGAATTAAAACGAGCCCAGGGCAACCGCGCAACGCTCAGAAGACCTGCCGGATTTCTGAAAGGTCACCTAGATGATATCTTATATGACGAACGTTAAAGAAAAACATCCCCTATCTGAGGATATCCACAAGGAGCCGGCTCTCACCATCTTCACTGGCCCTCACTCAACACCACCTCTTCACTACTACTACTTCTTCTTCTTCTTCTTCTTCTCTTCTCTCTCGCGCGCTGATTCTGTTGGGCTGAATGACCCATAGCAACGGCCCGCGGGCACGGGATGTCAATCCAACTTCTTGCTTTTTAATTGAAAGCAGAGCAACACATTTTATTTCTCAAGTTTATGATTGTACAGGACTGCAACAGCACAATCACCTCTTTTTTTAAATCGAAGCGGTTTATTTGGGAGGTGAAAGGTCACCGGAAGTTGTCTGTCTCCCTGTGTTGTCAGGTGGGCTTAAGCTGCCACGCAGGAAGATAATGGCGACTCCGGGTGAGTGACATTTGAACCGCTTTTCTTAGGAGTGTTTCTTGCTTGAATCTAGTTGTGTCAATCGCTACAGTGTCTGACTAAAATCTAAATTAAGCTGGTGCAGAATTCCACTCCTGCCCCCGTGTTAGTTGTTCTCTCGGGCTCGAGGCTTTGGTGGATCTGCTTTCTTATTTGAAGTTTTTTTTAATTCTTTCGAGTTGGCCACAATCAGCGAAATAAATTTAGACAAAAGCAAATGCAATGTTGGAAATCTATGTTGAAAACGAAACGTGCTAGGCACGCTCAGGTTCCATAAGGCCATTAAAAAATAGGAGCATTAGTCGGCCCTTCGGTGTATTGAGTTTGCTCCACTGTTTGATGAGATCATGGCTGATCTGATCGTCCACAGTTTCACTTTCTTACCTTATGCCCATAACGCTGAATCCCTTTATAATTCGAAATCTGTCTTATTAGCCTTGAACATACTTAATGACCCAGCGTTGACAACCTTCTGCATAAGGAATTCCAGCCTCTGAGCCAAAAAAGTTCCTACCCATCTCCAATTTAAATAGGCAACACTTTACACTGAGATTATGCTCGCTTGTTCTATACTCTTTAGGGGAAGCAATCTCTCATCTACCCTGTCAAGACCCCAGGAATCTCATTTGTTTTAAGCTCTGGCAGCGTCTATGGCAAGAGAAGCACAGCTCACTTCTGATGTTTGATTTTTTTTATGTCAGATCTAGGAAAGATACAAATGAAGCCAGTTTTAAGCAAATAGAGGATGGTTGAGGGGTGAAAATGGAGGGAAATGAGAGGATCTTTTGTAGGGTGGAAGGCAGGAAGCATTAAGTAACAAAGGGGAAAACAGTGTAAGTAAAAATGAGATGGTAATACAGAATCATTGCCAACAACTGTTCTCTGAAAAAAATGTCATATCTAATAAAAAGATAAAACACTGCTGTTCAAGCATGCATTGAGTTTTATTGAAACAGCACTCCTGTTTAATTTAGTGTACTGTATTTATTGCTTGTAATATGTTCCCTGCTACGTTTAAGAGAGCAGATGTGAATTAAGTGATCATTTTGTGGAACACTGTCAAGTCTTTTACATTATGTTTAAATACCTTATATTTAAATAAAAATCCTTGATTATAGCTGTTTCGTCTGGGTTGATTTTCACTTATTCTTCTATCAATCATGGTTATAGAGATTTTTTTTTCTAAATGCTTCCACCCTTATTGCATGATGATTGAATAGTTCAAGGTACTTTCTACAGTAGATTATACCAGTTGAGAGATGTGGCAGTAGCTTTTTAATGTTTTTTTTTTGTTAATTTTAGTATTTGATAGCACTAGCAAAGCCACATTTGTTGTCCTGAGAAAGTCATGGTGGCAGACCTTATGATATTTCCATTACACAGTTGAAGCTAGGGGTAAATGGCTGGACTTTTTATTGTTTGAGATACTCTTTACTTGAGTCTTCTTTAAGAATTAGTATTTTTTTTTAATATTACAGTGTAACTGTTTCAGATTCCAGTTCTATTGTGCTGCTTTTTGTAAAACGGTTTTCAGTGCTGAGTATTTTGGAACTATACATTAAAGCATTTTTTAAATTCCCTTATGTTGCCCCAGTTCTCTGAAAGAGCTATCTATTCAGTTTAATTTTTCACATCTTTATTTGCTTCCTCTCAAAAGGTACTGTTATGAATTCTGTATCTACAACCATTTTTACCAAGGTCGTTCATTTCTATGCAATATTTTTAATCAAAAACCTTAACTTCTTTTATTTGTTTGTGATAAACTTATGGTTTTTAAGTATCAAATTGCACGCAGCAGAGAAGAATCTGCTCTGATTGCTTTGTCAAGATGCTTCAAAATTTTGAAAAATTAGATCTTCAACTTTTGTGTTAAGATCACAGTTCCTCTAATCTCATCTCAAATGTACACATTTCAGTTCTGATATCACAATAAACCTAAAGCAAATGTTGAATGGGATTGAGAAACGTGTCAGCCATTATTAAATGGCAGAGTAGACTTGATGAGCTAATTGGCCTAATTCTGCTGCTATATATCATGGTCGAAAATCTGAAATAAAAGCAGAAAATGTTGGGCATTCCCATCAAATCTGGCAACATCTATGAAGAGAGAAAGTCAGCATTTCAGATCGTGATATTTAATCATAACTCTGATAACACTGGCATCATCATAATTCCTGTTCTTTCCTAATTGCCTTGACATTCCCTCTAAAGTAGGATTTTTCAAGTGTGGGCACAATATTCTAATTATGACTTAACTATTGTTTGAATAAGGTATGTTGCATTTAGTTCTGCGTAAAACAATTTATAAAATAAGGATCCAATTCACATTTTTAAACTTTACAATCACCTTCCAATCTTAAAAGATTTATGTATCTGAACTAATCCTTCCAATCCTTTTTAAGGATTAAATGAATGTTCCTCCATTTTTCTCCATTCCAAACATTTGACGCGCATCTACTCAATAAATTTAAGGTGATTTAAGTCAGTGTTATGTAATTAATTTGCATATAAATTATTGTGATAATCTAATCTATTCAAATATGAAAGATTTATAACATAATAAAGTCGATAGAAAAGAATAGAAACTAAAGCTGTAATTTACTATGTCTTTAATTTTAAATGAACAAAAACTAGTTATGAATCATGTAATACACAATTTTAAAATTTTTTCCCCATAGTTAGTTATTTCAGACTTCTTAGAATGACTTAATAAACTGTTGTGTGTACTGATCTGGCAATAGGTTCAGCAGAGTAATTTGAATTATTTTTTCCCAGATGAAAATTAGTGACGGAACTAAAATTCAACACGTTGGGATTTTGACATAAGTCATCAGGATGGAGAATAAAGGTATTTTATTTAAGAATGAATTAAAATGTTTGCAATTAAATTTATTCTTTTAAAAGTCACAAGTTGTCCAGATCAAAAGAATGTAGGAGCATCAGCTGCAATTGATTTTAAACCCTTAGTCCCAGTCATATTTCAGTGTTCTTTTGGTCACCAAGCGTGAACACCTACAAACAAAAAGAAATAATTTTTGTACTAAGTTCAGAAAATCCTTTGTGCAGTCTTATCAATTTTTAGAACTGGTTACTCCATAGAGCAATTAAGTCAACTCAGAAGTTTTCCTAAATTCAATCCCGTAAAATGTAGCCATTGAGCTGCCAAACATGTTTTTCGAATAATATGCTTTTATTATTTGTACGAAGCTCAGAGTTATCTTTAAAAGTGGGAGTAGGGTTTAAGGAGGAGGAGGAATGGGACAGAAGGTGGACTAGAAGATATGGGCAGGAAAAAAAGGATGTTCAGAACGTTTGGATGATTAGTGCTAGGAGATATGTGAAAGGAGAACAAGTGAGTTGGGCAATATCTGCTCAACAGAGTTGTATTAAGTTTGTTACAATTCTGTTACTTTATGGTGGGGATAGATAATAACAATTCTCTTCCTGTTCACTTTATGGATGACTTGTGTCTTTCAATTGTAAACTCAAACTGCTTGTTTCAAATATTTCTTAGCCTTCTGTGTTAACCTATGTGATACTTAAAAACTGAAATAGTGTAATTTAGGAAGTGTGAATTAGAGTACTGTGATTCAAAGAATAATATTAATAGTGTTCTTACCAACTCCAAAAGTTATCGTGAAGAAAAAAAAATCATAGTTAACGTTTTAGGTCTAGTCAGAAAGAGGAAGGATCACTAGACTCAAAACATTAACTCCGATATTTTTTCTTCACAGATGCTGCCAGACCTGCTGAGCTTTTCCAGCAACATTTGTTTTTGCTCCTGATTCACAACATCAGCAATTCTTTCAGTTTTTAAAATATATCGTATTATCTGAGAGAGGGTCTTGCTTGAATGATGTCTACTGTGAAATAATTGTGCTTTGGAGTGGTCAGTATTTATTTGGATATAAATTTGAAATTATACTAGGCCCTAATGATTATCTTTATTCTTAGCATTTCAAATCGATACAGTTTCAACTATTTCAACTCTTGCATAGACTGTTGCCACAATATTATCTAAGCTAGAGTAATATCATTGAGCCATCAAAGCTAAATTTGTTAATTTTGTAATCATAGCCTTTCCTTTCTCACATTTTAGTTCAAATAGTACAACCTATCCGTGGACCTGGAGATGGAATGGAAACAGAAGAACCAGCCAAACCAATCGAGAATGCCACAGTAGTAAATAAAAAATGTCATCACACTCCACGAGCTAATGTAGGTTCCAATTCTTCCCAAATTGTCACCAAGCCTGGCGTTCTTCAGCTTGGGAAGGTTCAGCCTGACCAAGCTGTTGAGGTAGAAGCCATAAAAATCCTGGTACCCAAAGCAGCTCTAATTCATGAAATTCCTATAAAGAATACAAAGTTAAATGACTCCGCAGGTTCTCATAAGGGTGAGTTGTCAAGTCATCCAGAAAACGCTGCTGAACTCAAGAGAGAACTGACAGAACTAAAAGTCTCCATTGAAAAATCGCAAAGTTCAGAAAGAAAACTCCTACAAGATAAAGAGGGGCTGGCTAACCAAATCCGGATACAGACTGAGGTGAGATAACAATAACTGTTAAGTGGTGTAAACATACCTTGAAAGCCGTGTTCTAGTCCGGTGTTCACATCTGGCTGTTAACTGTAAGTTAAAGTACTGCAAAACAAATTGCTGGAAAAAAACTGAACATCATCTTTACCTGTGAGGAGAAAAAACAAGCTAGACCTTTTGAAGTGAAAAATGAGAGAGAAGCAACTGGTGTGGTGAGCTTTGGATATGTAGGGGGAGAAGGGAGAAATATACATTATGATCGCAGATGTGATTTTTATAAAAACAAATTGCTGAAAGCACTTAGCAACTCAGTATTTGTATCACTGTTCTGAAATACAGTTGTCTCCTTGTGCACTGGGCTGCTGAGTGTTTCCAGTAGTTTTAGTTTTTATATCACATTTGCATCATCTGCTGTAAAGTTATGGGTTGAATAACCTGCTTAATAGAAAATTAGTATAGTGCAGGCCATCATCTCAGTAGGTTGTTTGGATATAACAACTAAAATCCATCAGTCTCAGGCAAAAAGAAAGTTGTACATGGAGTGCAAGATCAGTCAATTATGCACTCCTTCACCTTGTTCTACTCAATTTAAAAATTTAAGTCTTTACAGCACTTTATAACATTATATTTTTGAGTAAACCTGAGGACCTCTGTGGCATTCATCAAACATTAGTGAGAAAATCACCTAATCATTTCAGCAGAGTTGCCTTTCTCTTAATACAATGGGTGTTTATATTGAAATCTGTAGAAAAAAAATGGGGCTGGATTTATTGATTGGCACCAGAGGTCCCGGTGCCAAGAGTGGAAGTAGGAGGTAAGCTTCCATGGTTAATGGAATCCAGGTACACAACACATCAGTGGAAGCCAATTAATTGCTATTAAAGATAACCCCTGCCTCTTAAGGTTGCTGATCCAATCAGATGCCTAGCAGCTTAGCATTGCCATTAAGAATGTGGCCATTGCTGGGGCTACAGCTAGAGGAAATAGTCACATTAATGCATCTGCACTCTTTCAACCAGGTAATGGAGTGGGGGGCCAGTCAAGAAAGCAAGGAATTGTTGAGGTCAGGTGGCATCATGTCTCAGGCTATCAGGTCTGTACACTCTATGTCACCAGGGTTAACCTAACTGAGCCTGTTCTTCACTCCCACTGTTGGTTAAATGTCAGCAGAGACTGACTTAACTTGGCTCAGGGTGAGAGGGCCATCTGCCATCACTCTTGCTAACGGCATGGTGTCTGAAAGGTAATGCACTCACCACTTGCACCTTTCTATACCATCTTGCCAATCTTCAACAGTCTTCAAGCACATCCCCCAAAGAACAGGTAGAATTGAACTGAACTTTGCAGAATTAACAATAATTGGTAGGTTTTATGTGGATAAAAAACTCAATATATTTAACAACTCAATGTTTTTAATCTATTTCAGATAAATCGTGAGCTAAAAAAATTACTTGTAGCCTCTGTTGGCAATGACCTTCAGTATCACTTTGAGCGTTTGGCACGTGAAAAAAATCAATTAATCCTGGAAAATGAGACTTTGAATCAAAACCTAGCTCAGCTCTCTGAGCAGCTGGAACGGATGACGATACAATGCGATGTGTGGCGCAGCAAGTTCCTTGCAAGCAGGTTGTATACTTTTACGGTCATTTGTATGAAAAGACTTCATTTTAGACAATGTCTTTTTGCTTATATTCTACTAACATTTTCTAATTCCTCTCCTTCATGTTCATTTCCACACATAACAATAGGGAGGACTATTATCATTAGTATTTTGTTCAGGTATGAAGTGATGATAACAGGTAATGCTAATTGTCATTCTGCACTGGTGGCCTTTTTCGTGTACATGGCAAATCTGATCTTAAACCCTTGTACTTGCTTAAATGTTTCATTACTTCTTGTAAAATTGTACAATAAATTTTACGTACATTTAAAAACTGAATTAAAAATAACTGTTCTAAGCTCACAAGACTGAGTGTCTCTCGTGATAATTCCAATGGAGTCCTAGGTGTCCAGTTAAATAATTCCCAGTTAATTATTTCAGAAAGGGGTAATGAGTAATTATTTAGTGTGATAGACAGTTTAAGTGGGGTACCATCAGGATTGGTACTTGGGACCACTATGGGATTCATAATTTGTAACATTTCACCTAATATCAAATGGTGTGATGGGGGTTGGAGAATGGTCAGAGTATAGAAGATTGCAACAAATTTTAAGAAGGCATTAACAAACTTAAGGATTGTGCTTTTATTTCGCATGAGTTTCAATACTGAAAAATGCATTTATTAACATTTTGGTGAGAAAATTAGGTAATATATAACTTGGAAATAATAATCCAATTGGTGGGGATCGGGGTGGGGGGTGTGGTTATGGTAGTCAAATGGACCTAGAGATATGATGACACTTGTAATATAAAAATTGTGACAATAAGACCATAGCAAAAATAAATGAAACACTTGATTTATTTCTAGAAAGATAGAATTGAAAAACAAAAAATATGCTAACCTTGACCACACTTGTGTATAGTTCTGGTTGCCATATTATATAGAAACAAATAGGAGCACTGAAGGTGGCACAAAAATATCCACAAGGGTGTGCAGCCTGAGACTCCAGAAATTAAAATGGGATTCAGAAGAAACTCAATTACTGTGTGCGAAACATGCTACAACAGGGAGCAGTCAAGATGAATTGTATAGGTACATTTAAGAATTAACTATTATTAGACAGAACAGAGCACAGGGCTATAATGATAAAGTTAGATGGTAGAATGATTACAGGAGAAAACCATTTGGCCTGTCACGTCTGTGCTGGTCCTGTTATTTACCTAGTGTCAATCCTCTGCATTTTCTTTGTGCCCATATAAATCTTCCCTTTTCAGTTAAAGGTCCAATTTCCTGCCATAAGCCTCTATCATAGAACTTAAGAACACAAGTAGGCCATTCGGCATTTCAAGCCTGTGCCGCCACTCAGTTAGATCATTGTTGATCTGGTTGTGGTCTCAACTCCATTTTCAGTTTGTTCTCCACTGGCTTCCCCACAATAACCCTTGACTTCAGTCCACATTTGGTGCCTCAATCAAAGTTTTCAACTTGCAAGAAAAATAATCTGGAGTAATCTTTCTGTATTATTGAAGTTCCTCAACACTGGACTGATACTTGTGAATCTATTCTGCACCCTTTCTAATGCCTGCACATCCTTCCAAAGGTGTGATGCCCAGAACTGGATTCAGTTCTCCAGCTGAGGGATCGTAGAAGGCTTCATTAGATCAAAAATGCTGGCATGGACTAGTGGGCTGATTGACTTCGTTCTATGCTGCATATTCCATCTAATCATTATAAAAGAACACAAATAGTTAAACCAGATAAATTCATTATTCCTAGACTTTTATGTACCCTGGTTTTAGTTGCTAAGAGAAATTTAAATGATTAGAATATCATCTTGTACCAAAAACATATATTGCAGTTTAAATTCCTTTAACATGTACTGTATAGATAATGTAAAATGTGATTCTTGGCCCATGTTAATGGCTTTCTTAAATGCCTTCTCATTTTTATAATTGTAGACACATTTTGTCATTTTGTAAAAAAATTCTAAACAGTAATTACCCAGAATTCATTTATTTTAATCTTCTTTCCATGTAGAGTGATGACAGAGGAATTAGCGCACGTTAGAACATCACTGCAGCGTCATGTCCGAGAAACCCAGAGTGCAATACAAGATCTTCTCAGTGAGCGTGAGCAATTTCGTCAGGATATGGTTGGATCCCATGAGTATGTTTCCATCCAGTTCAGTCATATCACATTTTATCTATTAAGCAATACACTGTCAACATTTAAACTGCTGTCAGCACCAAACTTTCATTAAGACCAGTCCTAAACTAATAGTCGCAATGTAACTTATCAAGCCATTCTGTTTACACTTGCACTTACTGAATTGATAGGCCCTAATGTTTTATAGCATATCAGGAGGGTATCTATTGGGTAAGTACCTCGCCTTTCATGTATGTCTATCTGTCAGTAAGGTACCAGTGCAGCAAAGAACAGGGCAACTCAACACAAATTTCTTACCTTCCAAACTTTCATTGTGCGTGTGCAGAACCCAGATGTTGCTGTCTGATTTTCCCTTTTCACCGTGATGAACACTGACTGTCTCACCAGTGTTCTTCCTATAAAATCTGGGCCAAGAAGTTATACCAAAATAAGAAATGAAAAATAGAATTCCACACTTCTGTTTAAAATGACCCCTCTTCCTCTTGGCCACCATTGCATCCAAGCAGCCAAACCAGTGCCCAGAGGACCTGGGAAAGGGAGGAGCAGTGGATCACATCTCCTCCAGGTTCATCAGGCCCATGGTGGTAGTTCATAAGTCTGATGCAGCAGTCTTTTTTTTCCCCACTCTATATTTGGAAACAGAGGCTCCAGTTGATGTAAATGAAAATATGTTAGAAATGGAAAGTCCCAAAGTTAGTGAAGTAGAATCTGCGCTGTGCGTTAGTATTTATTGATTTGTCAGTCAAAAGTGAGTGAGATGTTTAAACTTGAGCACTGGAAGGGAAAGGGTGGATGTTGATAATTTTTTTTATATTCATTCACCGAATGTGGGTGTCACTGGCTAGGTCAGCATTTATTGCCCATCCCTAATTCCCATGGGGCAGTTAAGAGTCATTCCATCAAAATAAATTATAAGAGTACTTCAGTGCATAAAAAATTTCACAAGACACAAAACACTTTTTCTACAGACTGTATTTGCTAACAGCAGCACATGCACGCTCATACAAACAGCTTGAGGGGAGGAATTCGGGACCAGGGAGAGGTGATTGAGTGGGACAGGTGATGATGGGAGATATCGGGTCTTAGGACGAGGAGAGGGAGGAATTGGGACCAGGGTTGGAGATGGAAGATTGAGATGTAGAAGATCAGATCCCGGGAAGAAAAACGATGGAGGTGGAGGGAGGGAGAGAGGGCATTCTGGCTCCTGGGTTCTCTCTGTTGCCTCTATCTGTTCTCTCTCTTTCCCCCTTCCCTACAACTGTTCTTTTTCTCTCCCCCTCTCTCCCCCTCTCTCTCTCTCTCTCTCTCTCTCTCTCTCTCTCTCTCTCTCTCCCTCTCTCCCCCCCCACCCAACACCTCACATCCGTTCTCTTTCTTCTGCCCTGGTCCGATTCCTGTTACAGCATTGCACCTATTCTGTGCGTATGCACATTACAGAAGTTGCTCATGGACAATGATATAGAGGATCTGGAACCGTGCATATGAATATATCCAAGTGATGTACATGCCTAGCTAGCGATTTTCATATGCCATGAATGAAAATGTTAAAAATGTAATGAGCTGTTGTATCGTGATTAGGCTTAAAGTGTTGCAATAATTGTCCCATACAAAAAGAGAAAAAAGCTCAACATTAGAATCTTATTTAAGGAGGCGGTAGCAAATTGTGAGTTTTAACTGGTTATGGTGAATTGGTGCTCGTTTTCAGTCACGGTAGCTTGGTCATGAATGTGCTTGTGGGGTCACTGTGCAATTCGATGAAGCTGTTGGGAATACTGAGTGCATGAATTTGGGGGGGGTCCTAGGTGTGTGTGTGTATATGGCGTGGTTGGAGGCACTGTTGACCAGGAAGTGCTGATTACAGTTTGTGCATGAAGGGAGAGCAGAGGGCTTCACTGAGTCTTCTGTCATTCGGAAACATGGAGAGATTGACTGAAATGCACGAGCGTATAAAATCACATTTTTACAAAATATCTTTTAAAAATACATTTTAATTTTCATCTTCATAAGGAAATGTTATATCCTGAAGATTACCAAGCTGATATAGTAGTGATTTTACTGGGGTGTAGAGTCATGTTAATTTTGAATATGTTCCTATATTGGTTAACAGAATTAGGGCATTGTTGCCCACCTGTATTGCCTTTGAAGCAAAGTTAAAATGGGGTTCATTGAAAAGTAATCATTGAAGTCCTGCCTTTGTCCTTTGGTTCGCTTTGCATGTAATAATCCAACAAGGTCATGTTTTATTGTTTGTACAGTCTTCATCCTGTAATACATCAACTAATATCAAATGTTGAAATGCTAAGGTCACTTCAGGTGCAACATCTAATCGGAGATAAATAAAGCAAAAACTAAGGATTCTGTCCATTTGATGTCAAATATTTTTGCCTAGTTGAAATGGCCTAGAAGCATTCATTACAGATCATAACAAATGCTACAATTACATGATTCTTTGACCCGGAAAAATGACAGACCTTTTTTGGTCTTCAGCCACTTTCAACACTGATTATTAACTAAAGAATGTTAATCCAGGAAAAAACTGTTTAGAATGCAACTATATTTATTTGTAATGAAGGCTTCAAATACTTGAAACTAATTTATGATCTCTGAAGCGTCCATAAATGGTAGTAAACTAAGGTAACAGTAATCACCCTCTTGTAATAATTAGGTGCACTTCCAAGAAGACCAGACGTTTGTAGTGACAATTGCACTACAAATATTATGCTCAGAAAGACAAGATTATTGTTACCTAGAATAAAGCATCCAGCTTGTATAGATTAGTTCTGTGCAGGACCAGATATGAAATCATTCATTTTCATTATACTTCACAGATTCCTCAAGGAGCTCTTGGTATCTCTGCAATGGGGCCGACAACAAACTTATTATCCTAATGCACAACCACATACCACTGTAGAACTTGCTTCTGTCAATCTTAGGTTAGCAGAGGCTATTAATTCTCAACTTCTTGGAAAACTGAGCACAAGTAATATACAAAAGACTGACCAACAGGTTGAATTCTGCAACACACCTGCTGAAAAGATGGCTGAAAAGGTACTGTACAATTCTACAAGGAAGGAGAATGGAGGGGGAAGGGGAGCAGGAGGAGGGATGGAGGAGAAGGGTAGGGATCAGATGGTGAAGAAGGGGGAGGGTAGGCATGGAGGAGGATGGGGATATAGGTGAGGAGGATGGAAGGGAAAGAACAGTTCGGGGCTGGACGAGAAGATGAGGGAAGAGAAATACTGGAGGTTGGGAGGAGTTATTGCAGTACTGTTCATGTTAATACAGATCTTGTGATGTCCATTAAGATTTCGGATCCTGATAATTTAGCAACAGTTAATTTAAACAGTGTCAAGAGGAGCAACATTAAATGCCTACTCCTGTGTGCTAACACTAGCTTTGAAATGGATACAGCAGTGATCATGTAAATTGACATTCTTGTGCTGCAACCGTCCTTAGGGTCCAACATGTCTGATTTGTCATTCAATTTGTATGTTGAGGAATTAGACCAATATTTTACCCCTTTAGAAGTCATTATTAAAGTTGAGTTGTTTGACTATCACTTATCAAACAAATAGGTGAATGCATTTGGGTTTCCTCCTACCATATTAATAATGTTAATTATTAATGTTTAATTTACAGTCTATTCAATACCTGTTTTGTGCAGTACTTAATTATGTGAATAAGACTGACTTCACTGCTTACTGGATTTAGCACCACATTCTAACTATCGAATTCTATTTCAAATGGTGTAGGTTTAGGAATAAAATCAACTAATTATTTAAATTAATAGTGATATGAAAATCAAAATATTGCCATTTTCAAACACTTGGGATTTTTTTTTCTGTCAGATAATAAGCATAGGGAATGTAACATGTTATAAGATTTTGAGAAATAAGAGCATTAGAATTAAGCCTGTTATACCATTTAGGAAGATCTTGGCTGATCTGATAGTAATCTTAACACCACTTTCCTGTGTGTCATTCATAACCCCATCTCCCCAGCTTGTCAATCAAATCTCGAAATAGCGGAGTTGGATAATCACCCAGCCTCCACTGCTCTTTGTAGGAGAGAATTCAAAAGATGAATGATCCTCTTAAGAGAAAAATTCTTTTGTCTTTGTCTTAAGTGGGAGATCCATAATTTTTTAACACAACCACTTAATTCCAGGAATCAACCTTCATGAATCATTTCTGAACAGCTTCCAATGCTCTCCTAAGTAAAGAGACAAAAATATACATAGTACTCCAGGTGCAGTCTCATCAGTGCCCTGTATGGTAGCACTACTGGGGAGGCAATGGCCTAGTGGTGTTATCGCTGGACTGTTAATCCAGACACCCAGATAATGTCCTAGGGACCCAGCTTCAAACCCCACCAGGGCAGATGGTGGAATTTGAATTCAATAAAATGTCTGGAATTAAGAATCTAATGATGACCATGAATCCATTGTCAATTGTCGTAAAAACCCATCTGGTTCACTAATGCCCTTTTAGGGAAGGAAGCTGCCATCCTTACCTGGTTTGGCCTACATGTGACTCTAGACCCACATCAATGTGGTTGACTCTAAACTGTCCTCTGGGTAATTAGGGATGGGCAATAAATGCTGTCTAGTCAGCAACGCCCTCATCCTGTGAACGAATGAAAAAAAAACAAGACTCTTTCCTACTCGTCTACTCCACTCCCCCTTTCAATCAAGACCGTCTTTCAATTTGTTTTTCTGATTACCTTCTTTCCCTGCAAGCTGTCTTTTTGTAATTCATGTATACTGAGAACCAGATCTCACTATGCTGGACAATTCTGTAATGTCTCCACATAAATATTATTCTGCTCCTCTGTTCTTCCTGCCAAAGAACAGGGAGAACCTCACATTTTCCCACATAATACTCCCAACTGCCAGCTTTTTACTACTCACTTAACTATTAATATATCTCAGTACAGACTCACCTGTCCTCCTCACTATGTGCTTTCTAGCACCTATGTAGCAAAATATGCTAATGATACAATACAATTGATCCCTTCATCCAAATCATTAATATAGATTGTAAATACTCCATGTCCCAACACTGTTTCCTGTTAGTTAAACTAGTTACAGTTTGCCAACTTCAACATGACCCACTTATCCTGATTCTCTTTTTTAAAAAAAGTACAAATTGCTGAAGAAACTCAGCAGGTCTGGCAGCAGAGAAAGCAGAGTTGACATTTTGAATCTAGTACCTTTTCTTTAGTATCAGTTGTAAGACCTGTTAGGCCGCTTGTGAAAGATATAGTTCAAAATTGGTCGACAAATGTAAAACCAACATCTCAATGAGTTTGCATATGGCAAAACATCTTGCAAATTGTATAACAATGGATTCATAATAAAAGCATAAATCAGTTAAGTTTAGTACAATTATCAAGCTAGATAGTGAACTACTCAAGTGTTAATTAAACCAAGTATTTAGTCTTTGAACCAAATATATAGTTTCTTCTGGAAATAAATTACGATAATAATTTGTTTATATTTACCACTGCAAACTGCAAGTTCATGTACCCTTATGCTTTGACAATTAGAATAAACTAAGCGTTACTTTATAATCATTACTGCTTCAATAAGAACTACCAACAGCTGACTTAGCACTTTACTCATTCTTTTTCTTTTATTTGCAGGTTTTAAACATGTTGGATCCTACACTGTGCAGCAAAGGAATGACTGATGTACCATTTTGTGATACTTCACCATCATCGCTTCTCTCTAATAAAAAGAGCATAGGACGCTTCCACCCATATACTAGATATGAAAATATCACATTTAATTGTTGCAACCAATGCACAGGAGAGTTAATAGTGTTGTGACCTATTTTTAATGAAAAGGTTACAGTGACATCAACAGGTTGTGCACTATTACTACTGTTATTGTTGACTGTTTAAAACTGGCAATACTTTGAAGCAATCATTATGTATTCAAAGGATTTTCTTATTTGCACATATTCCTTATATTTTTAAGAAAAATGTGCATATGATATATTAGTCTAAGAAGCACAGTGATGTATTCATCACTATTCTCTCTCATAAACTGCCTGAATCTTTACCTCAAGTTTCGCCCAGTTATGATAATGATTATGTATTTATACTGCCACTTGTTTTTTTAAGTGTTTTAATGTGTATTTATATATATGAGTGGAAGAGCGGAATTTTCTATCTTCTTAATGTGGTGCAGAGTTGAAAATGACTATATCTGATCAAGTGTTACTAAAATGTCCAATTAGATCAGTATGATCTATATAGTGTCACCTATGAAGTATTGTGCAAGTCAGAGTATTCAATTTGTAAAGAAATATGCCATTCTGTTTTTGATACAACTGTAAAATGTTTGTCCATCCATTCTTTAGTCTTTTCAATTGAATAGAATGTTGAATTACAGGCTAAAAGAGCATAAAGACTTGAGTTTTCAGAGACTCGAGATTAACAGATATATCAAGATATATAGAATTCTTTTCATACAGGTTATTAAAACATGCAATTATTTAAATTACAGGTGGTCATTGTAGCAGAGACTATCACAATTTTAAAAAGTATTTTCACGTGCACTTGCAAAGGAAGAACGTAAAAGGATGTAGTGAAAGAGCAAGGAAATAAGAGAGAGCAGCCTTTTGCAATCTAGAAGGGTTGTTTAGGCCGGCTAATTTGGTGTTCGTTCAAAATTTGTTGCTCAAAGTCTTATTTTAAAATACTGGTCCAAATAACACCAATCATGTGGTAACCTTCGAGGCAAATTCAGTTAATTGACTGTAGTAATTAATACAATTTCATGATTTGTACCAAGTAAATGAGTCTTATTCAATGGACCATTGTGAAAAGTGAGGTTTCAGATAAGCTGAAGTAGAGTGGAGGATTTGTTTCATCAACATAATTATCAGTAATTGGCAGGTTGGAATGTGTGTTTTCTTATGCAGAAAAGTTACAAATTGGGCATATTAGTTGCATGTAGACAGTACAGCTGCATCTTCCCATATTTTGGTTTAAATTCAATCAATCTTGGGATATTAGCTGAAATAACTCCACAGATGTCAGTATCACATCACCCTCTCTTTAACATGGGAAGGCCTTGAGACTGATCGAGCTGTCTAAGCCAGCTCTTAGAGTGAACAGGATGTCTGACACTCTTGTTCTTAGCTGTCAACCAGGGCTCCCTGATTGGACCAGAAAGACAGCCCCAACCAGGGAACTCATATTTTGTGATGTCCACCTGGCTGACCTCATTACAGTTACTGCATCACTCCCTGTCTGAGTCTGAGGATATAAGCCTTTCGTAGCTCCTCCTGGGGTGTTTTAGCACTGGGTCAAGTTCCTCCAACTCTGCCTCTGATGCAGGCAGTACGTAAAGCACAGTAGCTTATCTGTTGAAGAATTTCATTCGCTTCACGAGGCAGCAAAGATTCTGAGTATCTTAAACATTGATCAGAAGGGAGAACCCATGTGTTCCAGAACAGTTGGAAAGGCTGTTGAGGAGCTGGGCACGTTTTGCTACCACACCATGGACGAGTTTGCAGCTTTCATGTTGTCTTTGTGTTTGTTCAGGACTGTCACACTAACCCAAACTTTATTCGTCACTGGACCTGACCTCAACCATGTCTCATACCCATGCAGGGCCATTTTTGGGGTTCGTACATCAAAATTTGTTCCCTGAAGTAAGCTGTCTCTCTTGCTTAGTGGAGTTTTGTGTCTGGTATTGGTGTTCCTGACGCACCCTCATGTTATTTTCCCATGGGTGTAACCTGGTTTTGTCAATTCTGTTGCTCAAGGTCACTTGGGGTGCTTGGAACACATTTTTCCATTCTAAGGTGTATGCCTGCCTGGGAGAAACATCTAAGGACTATGTCCAAGTTGTCTAAGTTCTCCTTATTGGCCTTCCCTGTTATGAGCACATCATCTAAATAAATTGCAACCAGGGTAGATCCTGTGAAATGTTCTCCATTGCCCCCTGAAAAATTGCACAGGCTGACAACAACCCAAATGGTATTCTTGTATATTGGTAAAACCCTTATGCGTATTAATTGTAGCATATTTCTAGGAATCATCTAACTGCAATTGCAAGTACACATGGCTGCCATCCAGTTTTGTGAAGAACAGCCCCTCCCTTGTGAGGGATTAGGGTATTATTCCAGCTGCAAAAGCACTTTACCCCACAAGGTCTGGAAAGATCAAATTTAACCTAGTGTGGAGTCTCCTCCCAATTAGCAACTCTACGAGAGCTAACCCTGTAGTTGCGTGAGGGTTGGTCCTGTAATCAAATTGGAACTGGGACAGTTTGGTATTCAGTGAAGCTGTTGGCTAAAGTTTGGACTGCTGTTTCTGCCAAACCGTTGGATGGTATGGACCTGTCCTTATATGGTGAATACCATTCACCTTTATGAAATACTCATAAGTCCCTGCTGGTAAACTATGGCCCGTTATCTGTGACCAATATGTCCGGGATTTGTGTATTGCAAAAGATGTGTGCAGTTTTTCTATCACTGTCTCTGTGTTTGATGAATAAACTTTATGCACCTCAACCAGTTTGATTGGGCGATAACAATGACTAAGAACATTGAACCTGTGAAAGGACCTGCATAATGTAACCAAGTCCAGGGTTTACACTGCCGTTCTCATGAATGTGTGGGAGATGCTGGTGGTAATTTTTGTCTGGGCGCTGCCCCACCAATGCAGCTGTGTCTGCATCTAGTCTGGCCCACCAGACATAACTTTTCACTGACATTTTCATTTTGGAAACCCCTGGATAACCCTGGTGAAGTTCAGACAGTACTTTAGCTTGGGACAATCACTCTTACTCCCTGTAATAATATGTCATCCTGTATTGTGATCTGGTCTTGGGTCCAAAAAGGCTTCAATTCTGACCCTTTAGTTCTGCCATCATCACCAGCTGTTTCAGTTTTACCAGCATTAGATCTTACTACGTCCCCAAAGTCTGATATTGTCAGCTGTGACTGGAATTCTGTCCAGAAAATTTAAAAACATTATGGACATTTCCAGTGGCGGTACCACCGATTGTGTATCTGCCAGCAGGAGGCTGCTCAATGTATCTGCATTTGTTATTTGGCCTCCTAAAATGATGTTTGAACTTGTAAGTATACTTATTGAGTATTAGACTCCACTGCTGAAGTCGACCTGAAGTTATGGGCAGCACTGACTTGTCCTCTTTAAGCAGACCTAACAGGGGTTTGTGGTCCGTTATTACAAAATTACATCCATAAAGGTGTTGATGGAACTTCCTGACTCCAAATATGACCACCAAACTTCCTTCTCTATCTGAGCGTAATAACACTCTGCATTAGCCAAAGTCCTGGATTGGGTGTTCCTCTCCATTGGGCTACCTATGAGCTAATTACAACCTGATACTGTACAGGGAGGCATTGCATGTCAATACCAGATCTTGCTTGGGATCATAGTGTGCCGACACCGTGGAGTTTGATATCTGTTTCTTCATTTCACTGAAAGCCATGGCTTGGCTATGCGACCATTTCCAAGACTGACCCTTTTTTAAGAGTTGATCCAAAGGTGCCAGGATGGAGGCCAGGCTATGTATGAATTTTCAATAATAATTCACCCACCCCAAAAAAGACAAAAGCTCTGGTACAGACATGGGACCTGGGGCACCTTTAATCGCCCTCATGTTATTTTCCCATGGGTGTAACCTGGTTTTGTCAATTCTGTTGCTCAAGGTCACTTGGGGTGCTTGGAACACATTTTTCCATATTAAGGTGTATGCCTGCCTGGGAGAAACATCTAAGGACTATGTCCAAGTTGTCTAAGTTCTCCTTATTGGCCTTCCCTGTTATGAGCACATCATCTAAATAAATTGCAACCAGGGTAGATCCTGTGAAATGTTCTCCATTGCCCCCTGAAAAATTGCACAGGCTGACAACAACCCAAATGGTATTCTTGTATATTGGTAAAACCCTTATGAGTATTAATTGTAGCATATTTCTAGGAGTCATCTTCGCAATTGCAAGTACAAATGGCTGCCATCCAGTTTTGTGAAGAACAGCCCCTCCCTTGTGAGGGATTAGGGTATTTTTCCAACTGCAAAAGCAGTTTACCGTTTGTTTAAAACCCCACAAAGATGAACCCCTATCAGGCTTCATAATCAGTACGACCGGTGCTGCCCATTCCACAAACTGAACTAGTTTGATGATTCCTTTGCTTTGGAGCCTTCTGATTTCTGTCTCTACTTTTGCCCATACGGCAAATGGCACTGGGTGGGCCTTGTAGAATCGTGGAATTGCTTCCTGGTCAACATGCAAGTTGGCTTTGGCTCCTCAGATAGACCTAGACCTTGAAAAACTTTCAGGTATTTAATTCAGACTTCACTCAAGCAGCCATTTTCTAATTGAAAAATGTTGAACCAATTTAGGTGAATCTTCCTCAACCAGTTTTGCCCCAGCAAATTGGGCCCAAGCCTTTTACTACAATTGGTAACTGAACCAGCTGCTTTTCTGAAGTCCAGAATGAATTTTGTTAAAGACTGGTTCTGCATTCACTGAAACGGCCACACCATTATCGATATCCATTAGAACCAGGTGATCATTTAACCAGACATTTACTTTGATTGTGTCTGATTTGGATGTTGCTAAGCAATTTAACTGTTCCAAACCAGATGTAGTAGACTTTCCAGGTACGCACTTAACTGGATACTGGCCTATAAGTTACTTAATTTAGGTCTAGAGGGACTCTTTTGCTGTCTCAAGTATGCATACCAGCAGCAACTACAATGGCTTGGTGGTCCAGAACCTGAAGAAAATTTTAACCAATTGGTTGAGGCTTGGCTTTGTTTTGGGGCTTTGCTGTGAGCTGACCTAGAGTCCCTCTGTTCAGGATATGCCCTGAGTGAGGCTGTGCAATTGTCTTCACTCAAGTGGTGTTCCTCAAGCTCAATCGGACTAGTAACGGTGTCCACTTCCATCTGAATATGCTGCAACTCATATGCTCCATTTGCTGCATTTTCCAATGATAAAGTCAGTTGTAGTGCCTGTTTGAAGTCCAGTTAGGCTTCAGGTCCTAGGCTGATTTGTATGGTTACATCATTAAACCCACATACTAAACAGTCTCTCAGCATCTCATTAAGGGTTAAATAAAAGTCACATTCCTCTGCAAGTCATCTTAACCTAGTCAAAAATCCTGATTCGGATTCCCCTGTTTCTCAAAATGCTGAGTAAAACCAATAGCACCTCAGTATTAGAGGAGGCTTGGGGTCATAATATTCCTTAGTTGAATCTGTCAACTATTGAAAGGTTTTAGTATCTGGTGCCTTAGGGAAAGTTAGGTTCCTGATAACTGATAAAGCTGCAGGTCCACAAGCTGTCAGGAGAATTACTCTTTGCTTTTCATCTGCCCTAATGTCATTTGCCTGGAAAAAATAACGTATTCTTTCCACATATTGGCCTCAGACTTTACCAGCAGGATTGAATAAATCAAGCTTCTGAAATAATGGCATGATGCCAGAAATGTTTACCCCAGCTCAAAGACAACTGTTGCGAGCAAATTTCTTCAGGAGTGTGTTTTTCTCTCGTCGCCATTGAAAATAACACCACAGAGGCCAGTATCTTCAAGGAATGTTGTACCTTAGCAATTTCAAGTTTTCCTGGCTTCCGGTTAGTGAAGTATTCCATTGTTGACTGGCTTAACCGGGAACGTCCACTGAACCACCCATTCACAATTGTAAGAGATTTGGAAATGGAATCATTGTAGCAAGAAGAGAGAAAAGTAAACTGACCATACTTTCTGTAAAATATGGAATGCATTGGTGAAATTGACAGAAACAAGCACCTAGTGGTCTCTGGCAATAATAAAACAGAGGTAGCCATCCATACAGTCCTCAAAGACAGTTTATCAACAATCACTCTTCCCAAGGACAAAATCATAGTTTTTTTTTCTTAGCAGGACCATCATATCAGTAGGTCATGTCAGGTTCAGCTAGAACCAGCATTATAAATGATGATAGATTATAAGTGTTAGTCTGCAATGCTGACACAACCAGAACAGAAGCAAAAGTATACAAATCTTACGTCAAACCTTAATTAGTCCATACTTAAAAATACAATGCAAAGATCTCGATTCCATTTTGTTACGATCTCGGTCAACACCACCCTTTAGAATTGTTTCTGGAATCTGAAAACACACGTATTTATTCAAAGAATGAAGTTACAAGATTCATGGTTTAAAACAATTTTTTTTACTGCACAAAAATCAATGAACAAGAACGTTACTAACTACATTCTATCTTAGTAACATTAAAAACATTAAAATTGCAAAGGATACAGTTATTTATGTTGTAAAGTGGGCTTTTAAACATGAATTTCCTCCTAAAATTATTTCACTTAAACCCCAAAATACTCAAGTTATACTTATCAAAAATTGGAAGATTAACCTGGTTATTGTTTCAAAGATACGTATAAGAGTTGAGCTACCTTGTACCTTAGACTTACTTTCAGCAATATTTCCCTTCATATCTTTCAAACATCCCATGGCTGTACACTCTCCATTCAACATAGTTGTCAGCAATGTCTTAAGTGTAGACGCATCTTAACACATGAAAGCTTCTTTAACTGTGTAGTATCACATTTAAAACTGTCTTCCCAACTGGCTAACACAGAATGCCAAATCACTTTTAGGAATCCATCAATTAACAGGAGGGTTAAATTATTTTAGCCAGAACCTAAATTTTGTTTGAAAAAGCTACTCTGCAGCCATTTTGTTCTAAACTTCAGCTAAAAACCTGCTTGAAATCAAGCTATACATGCACAATTTATTCTCTGCTACAATTAGCTTCTTAATAAATCTTCCAGGCAACTTAGTCTCATTTGTCAATTTACTTGAAATCATCCAGAGAAATCTAGTGGTTAAAGGTACCATCACCGCAACATAAAGTACAGATTTTCTCCCCCAAAACAAATGACTATCAAAAATTATAAAAGATCAGGCATGTGGATTTTGCAAAATGTATTAAAGTATTCCAATAATTGAAATGGATTTGAGAGATTATAGTTATAATTAATAGACAGAATAGAAAAGAGAAGGCTGAGGACTGACTTAATAGTGATAGGATCAATACTGATAGGGTTGAAATTGCAGGTAAGGCCAAGGGGAGAGACCATAAATGTTTGATTGTCATAAATAGGTACAATATGAAATTCAGAAGAAATGTTGTTACTTGAAGGGTGATATGGATATAGTATACACTCCCATAAAAAGTAATTACGACAAGTGAAATAACCACATTAAAAGGGGAGCTAGATAAGCTTTTGAGGGCGAAAGAAAGTGGATAGGTTTATAGAGTTGGGTGAAACAACATGAGATGAGGTATGGAGACAACAAGGTGCAGGGCTGGATGAACACAGCAGGCCAAGCAGCATCATAGGAGCAGAGATGCTGACGTTTCGGGCCTAGACCCTTCATCAGAAAAGGGGGAGGGGAAGGGGGTTCTGAAATAAATAGGGAGAGAGTGGGAGGCGGATAGAAGATGGATAGAGGAGAGGATAAGTGGAGAGGAAACAAA